TGCCGCTCCCGCGTCTCTCCCGATGTTCCCTATTCCCAGCTCCACGCACGTAGCCATTTCGGCCCGCGTTCCTCGGCACTCACACTCTTCTCACGACGTTTGGTCGCCCATGAGAGATTCCCTCGCCCACCAGGTTGGCGAGAAGCACATTCACATCAGTAACGAGTTCTCGCGATGGATTGACACAGTGGAGCGCGCCATCACCAGCCACCATGGCCCCAGTGTGCCCAGGCTCTCCACGCGCGAGGGCTTCACGGCGCAAGTCATGCCCGTGCGCCACGCCGAGCATGTTCGGAATCGGCCGCTCAAGGACGGGGCGGCAGGCTGGTGGAGCAGGTTGCACGCGGTCATCCAGCGCGCTTTGCGGCACCGTCGCAGGCGCAAAAGGCGAGAGCCGGGCGGCGCTGCTGGCGGAGGAAGCCAGACGCTTGGCAGAGCTGGCCGCCCGACGGAACTGGCTCAGCAGAGGCCACCTGCGAAGGGAACGCTGGAACACGCTGCTCGCCGACACGCGGAGGCCTGGCGATTCTGGATGTTCAGCAGCTCACCGCACGGGAAGAAAAGTGCTTCCAGGCCGCCCGACGAGTCCAGAGTCGGGCCGCAGCGTCGTCGCTGCGAGGGCTTCAAGATTGGATCAGCTCTTCGGCATCGCAGGGCCAGGCTCACCGCGGCGTCAAGAACGACGAGCCTGAGCCCAACGAGTGCGAGGGCGGCTCCGCCACGCTCCTACACCCGATCGACATCGTTGACGGGAAAGCTGAGACGCGGCAGGCCAAGTGGAGAGGCTCGGCGCCTCACGAGAGCATCATGGTCACGTTCACCCTCGCCAGGTCTCTTGCGGAGGTCGAGACGGCCAAGTGGAGAGGTTCGGCGTCTCACGAGAGCATCATGGTCACGTTCACCCTCGCCGGGTCTCTTGCGGAGGTCGAGACGGCCAAGTGGAGAGGTTCGGCGTCTCACGAGAGCAGCATGGTCACGTTCGCCCTCGCCGGGTCTCCTGCGGAGGTCGAGACGCTCGAGCCTCTATGGCGGTGAGTGGGCTGCGGACGGCGCCGCGGAGCACGCAGGCTCGCGCAGGCTTGGGCGCGGGCCGCCTCGCGCCCGCCGACTTCGAGCGCCCGCCGCAGGGGGGGGCTCCAGGACGTGTGTGACCTCTTCGCCATGAGCGAGGAGGGCCTCTCCTGGCCATGGCAGGGCACGTGCACGATCGGCGGGCGGCTCGCCAAGAGGTCGGGCGGCGGCCGTGCCAGTGGCCTGCTGCCGATGCTGCGTCGCGCCTGGCCCACGGTCAGGGAGGCGCAGGTGAAGGATTGGTCAGCTCAGCAGGATGATAGCTGGGATGCGGCGATCGCTGGCAACAGCGCCCTCAAGGAGGCGTTCACCAAGGCGCTGCAGGACGAGTCCCAGTCCAGGATAAATATCGCGCACGGGCACGGGCTTCTCGACGCGGAGGCCTTCTACGACGGCATCGAGTGGGGGCCGCTCGCGAGATGTGCGGCCAAGAAGGGGCGTCCTCCAGTGATTCTCTTCTTGGAGCTGCAGCTGCGCCTCATCCCGCGGCTTTTTGCGCAGCTCGACTCAGTGTCGGAGCCCTTCCAAGCCACGTGCTCGATCGTGCAGGGGCTCAGGAACCGCACGCGGTTCGCCAAGTGCCTGACCGCGTTCGTGTGCAAGAAGTTGCGCGTAATGCATCCGTTGATATCGGAGCGGATCTGGGTCGATGATCTTTCTCAACGGGTAGCAGGTTCTCGGAAGCATGTGCGCACCACACTCATCAAGGGGATCCTCGCCACAGTCAGGGAATTCAAGCACCTTCGCCTCGGCATCTCTCCCAATAGCGCGGTCACCTGCGTTCATCATTGCGACGCGGTTGCAGTTGTCAAAACTCTGCGGCGGCGAGGCGCATCGCTGTCCGCGGCGCTCCAGGCAGCCCACTTGGGAGTGGGCCTGGGTGCGGGGCGCCGCCAGGGCAAGGCCACGGTGCGCAAGAGAGCCACCAAGGCCGCCAAGACCCACGGCAGGCTTCGCCGCTTTGCTCAAGCTGCGCGGCGGTGGCAGGCGACGGCGAAGCTGCAGCAGGCGGGGCTGCAGGCGTCGGCGGTGCACGGCCACCAGGTCCACGGCGCGTTCGGCTCCAACATGCTGCTGCAACGGAGGCGCTTGGGGGCCGCCGCGGGGTCCTCGACGAGAGGGCGCTGTCTCACCACGCTCTTGGCCATGCGGCTCCCAGGAGCCGATCCAGGAGCTCTTCTTCCTCCGCAGTGCGTGTCCCTCTGGCTCTCGGCGCGGCTGGAGGAGCCGCAACTCAGGCCGTCTCTCTCGCTGGCGTGGCCAGCCACGGTCAGGCATCTGACGAGCATCAAGCCTGAGCTGCGCAGCCGTCATGTCCGAGGGCCACTCTCGACAGTCGTACTCTACCTGCTGGAAGCGGAGTGGGCGCCAGTATCGCCAGTGGAGCGGGATGCGCCGAATGACGGTGCTCAGGCCGGCTTCCCTTGGAAGCTCGGAGGTGCCGAGTTCTCGAGCCTGGATCTGGCCACCCCACTGCTTGGCGAGCTGCAGTCTACGATGGGAGCTCAAGCCACTGTCCCCACTGTTCCCACTATTGTTCCCGCTGTCCCCACCAGTGCCCCCACCAGTGTCGCAGTGTCCCCACTCTCGCTGTCCCCACCACTGCCGTCCCCACCACTGTCCCACTGTCCCCCCCACCACTGTCCCGCTGTCCCCTCACCACTGTCCCCAGCACCACTGTCCCCACCACTGTCCGCACCACTGTCCCACTGTCCCCACACCACTGTCCCCACCACCACCGTGCCCACCACTGTTCCAATATCCCAGCCACTGTCCATCTGTCCCGAGGAGCGGGAATCGTTTGCTGGCGGCGCCGGGGGGGGGTTCGAACCGGTAGTGACCCCCCCCGTTTTCGAAGGGGGGGGGACGGGTTCGAACCGGTAGTGACCCGCCTTCCTTTTCATGATGGACCGGGGTGGGGGGGGCTTCGAACCGGTAGTGACCCCCCCCTCCGGTTTTCGAGGGGGGGGACGGGTTGGGAACCCCCAGTGACCCCCCTGGTTTTCCGCCAGCAGCGGTAGAACACGCTCTTTCTTATCGAGGGAAGCGGGAGGAGGACAGGAGAGGAACGCGGGGCACTGTCTCTTCAAAACGAGAACCGAACACCACAGCTTGGTTGGGAAAGGGAAGAAGACGATGAACAACATTGATAACAATAACCACAATACTGGCAAGAAAAATAATTGGCAAGAGGAAGTGGTCCAGAATAGAGGGGTTGATGGCAACGCAGAATATGCGATTGGTCGTGCAAGCTATATGGGGAGCGCGAGCGTTGCATTACTCACAGGACAGCAATATGCGGACGAGGACAGGGGGCCCTTGATTCGCGGAGGAAACAGGGGGCAGGGAAAGGACGGAAGGGGGGCCGAAACGTTAACGCGACAGCAAGAGTAAGACGGTGAAGGAGGAAGAGGTCGACAGCGACAAGGACAACGGCAACCATTCCCCAATGGCGATCAGTTCCCTATGGCACGCTAAACAAACAACGCGACCCGCACCATGTCGTTGTAGCGCTCCAATGGAAAAGCTGTTCAGGGTGAGTGCAAGAAGCGAAGAAGGCCGAACTAAGTTCCCCGCTTCTTCCTGCACCTCTGAACGCCCGCAGGCGCGCCGCCAGGTCTTCGGGCGGCCCGCGGGAGAAAGGACCCAATGCGGATCTGAAAAATCTGCGCAGGACGTCGCTATGCTGGACCCCCGCTCCCCAGCAGCACCTCGAAAGTGGTGACCGTTTCGCAATTCGCAAACCTCAGCGACAGCAAGGTCCTGCTCTGATCTGCATCAGACGTCACCCCGCTGGACCCACCCGCTGGAGCCGCCCCGCTGGACGCACCAGCCGCAAACCTGCACCCCTGAGCTTGTTTTGTCACCACATTGCGCAGCAGCGGGAGCGTGAAACAGGAGGAGGGGGGAGGAGGAGGGGAACGGGCGCTGTGCGGCGGACCCCTGCGGCCCAAACTGCCACTCATACAATATTCAAAAACGCACAGCGGCAACCCAGGTGGCAGGAGCGAGCAGGGGACAGAGGGGGAACGCCAAAGGAACATGACAAGCCAGCAAAGGCCCGTCAGAGAATCTGGCGCGTGCGAAGACCAGCAGATCTCGAAAGTGGCGACAGTTTCGCAGCTCGCAGCCGCCCCCGCACTGATCTGCGTAAGACGTCACTCCGCTGGATCTATCAGCAGACCTCGAAAGCGGCCACATGTCACAGTTCGAAGCCCCCCAGCGACGGCGAGGTGTAGAGGGCAAGAAGACGAGGCAAGAGGAGAGAGGAGGGGTGCGAAGGTGGACACCGCAGTGCCCGATTCAAAACGAGAACCCACCGGATGAGGCTTGGGAAAACGAAGCGCGAGAACACTCAGGAAACCCCAGGTCGCCCCCAGGAGCCCCAACAACGTCCAAGAACCTCCTCCTCCTCCTCCTCCTCCTCCTCCTCCTCCTCCTCCTCCTCCTCCTCCTTCTACCCCTCCTCCCCCGCCTCGTTCTGAGCCTGGTCCGCCTCCTTCTCCTCCTCCTCCTCCTCCTCCTCCTCCCCCTCCTCCTCCTGTGGCCTCTCGAGGTCACCAGACGTCCGACGATCTGATTTTCCCCGATCGCGGCCCGAGAGGCCGCGGCCCCCTCCCCGCGGCTGGCCAGCCCCCAAAACCACCGGCTCGGCCCCCTGACGCCCGAGGACGGGCCCCCGGGGCCGCAATCGAGGAGAGACGCCAGGAGACCGGAGACGTGGGCCTCCCGGGCCTCCCGAGCACTCTGCGGAGGGGCCTCTGCCGACGAGGATGAAGGGGCCCTGGGACACACGAAGAAATACACACAAACAAACGGATTCCCCATATTTTCCCATATGTTCTGGGTTCTTGTCTTCCCCCCCCACTTCCCATAGTTTCCCATATCTTCTGGGGAATCGACGATGGATTGTGTCTGCGTGTTTTTGTCCCCCCCTGAGAGGCCGGCGGCTGCAGGCCGCGAGGCGGCGCGGATCAGGAACTGGCACAGGCCGAGGTCTACGCACTGGCGCCCCAGCATGTCCCACAGGCGGCCAGGCGTCGCGACGAGGATGTCCTCTCGGGCAAAACCCTCGCAGGCGGCGCCAACACGGGGGCGGCGCGAGGGGAGTGGGCTCCTGAAGAGGCAGGAGGGCTTCTCAGAAGGCAGGGGCCATGTAGAAAGGCCCGGAGGCTTCTGGGAAGGCGTTTCAGAAGCCACCTGGCCCCTCAGAAGCGCCCCCGCCTTCTTACAAGACCGCCCTCCTCGCACCCGCCCTTTGAGGCCGCGGCCAATCTCGAGCGCCACGGGGTCGTCATGGTCGTCGCTTTCCTCGTCGTGGTCGACGTCGTCGTCGTCCTCCTCCTCGTCCTCCTCGTCCTCCTCCTTCTCCTCCTCCTCCTCCTCCTCCTCCACCTCTTCCTCCTCTTCCTCCTCTTTCTCCTCCTCCTCTTCCTCCTCCTCCTCCTCCTCCTCCTCCCCTTCCCCCTCCTCCTCCTCCTTCTCCTCCTCCTCCACCTCCTCATCGTACTCGTCTTCCTCCTCCTCCTCCTCATCTTCCTTTCCTCCATGTTCTCCTCCTCCTCCTCCTCCTCTTCCTCCTCCTCCTCTTCCTCCTCCTCCTGGTCCGTACGGCGAACTGCCATCCTGCCCGCCGCTGCCCCCGGACGAGGGGAGCTCCTCTCGGGCAGCTCTCGGGCGCGAGGGGAAGGGAGCACGGTCCGGGGAGCGAGGACCGAGGGGTCGACGGGTCGACGGATCGAGGCGTCGAGGGGTCGACGGATCGAGGGAGCGAGGGAACGACGAGTCAGGGGGCCGAGGGAACAGGGGGCGACTCTCTCCAGGCCCGCCTGCGTGGACGGGCCGCCGCTTCTCTGCACGGCACCGCGCTGTCGACCTCCTCGTGCTGCTGCTGCTGCTCCTTCTCCTCGCCATCTATCATCACCACCACCACCATCCCCATCCCCATCCCCATCACCATCATCATCATCAGCATCAGCATCATGATCAACATCATCATCCTGACCGTCGTCAACATCCTCGTCGTCGTCAGTATCCCCTCATCATCCTCGTCGTCCCCTGTCTTTCGCAAACCCCAAAACACACAGTGTTGGCAGTCTGGTATCGCTAGACCGTGGAAGAGAAACATGAACGATAACGAACAGGAGAGCCAGAAGACAGAGGGCGGGGAAGACGGGGAAGGCAAGAAAGCGAGGCGGCTGGAGTGAGAAACAAGCAATGAGAACAAGAGACAGTTAGCGAAAGTTATCGAAAGTCAATGCTGCACGCGACCCGCCATCCTGCAATCTCACAAGTTCGCGCAGCGAATCGAAGGGAAACCTATCGATTGCAACCTGTTGTCCACGAGCTTGATCGCGCCACGGCGAAGCCTCGTCTGTGAAGAATTGTTCAACTGGGCCCCACGCAGACCAAAATGTCCGAGCACCGACAACGCGGTCATCATGTTCGAACGCAGTTGCAAGCGTCCTGTCAAGCCAAACGCCGACATCCTCCATCGTCCCTGGGTGTGCTGGGCCAGCCTCCCTGCCGCCGCACGAGGACGTCGAGTGCGTTGTCACGCTTGCCTGGAAAGCACGTTGTACTGCCAAATGGCGGTGGGAACTCGCATCGGGGTCGCTCTCGACGCCGCGACTGTCATCATCCTCTTGGTCACATCTTCGTCTGGGTCCTCTCTGCACTCCCCGCTGCCAGCGCTGGCAACAGAGCTCGAGCAGCCACTGGTTGGCCACAGACGCCGCCACCAAGTCTGGATGGAAGCAGGCGTTTCTTGGCGCAACTCCTCCTGCAAACGTGGACATTGACCAAACCTGTCGCGTGGAAGTGGTCGCCATAGCCTTGGTTCACACTCAACGCCATGTACTCGATGAAACGAGAATGGATCGTATCCCATGCCTCTACTGGAAACGATTGTGTTGAGAGAGCGTGATCCACCGCCGCTTTACTGTGGAAAATTGCCAGCCTTTTCCTCCGGAACCCGGGGGTCGCCCCCCCCCGCCCCTCCGAAAATCCCCCCCCCCTGCTGGACCTCCCCCTCCCCCCCCCCCTCTCCCCCGGCAAAACCCCCCCCTCCCCTAACCCCTCCCCCCCCCCCCTCCCGCTCGAAAGCCGGGGGGGTCACTACGGGTTCGAACCCCTCCCCACCCCCCCCCCCCCTTTCGGATCCGGAAAACCGGGGGGGGTCACTACCGGTTCGAACCCCCCCCCCCCCCCCCCCCCCCCCCCCTACTCACCGCCAGCAAACGACTCCCGGTCCCCACCACCGTCCGCATCACATCCCCCACTGGTGTTCCCAGCACCACTGTCCTCACCAACGCTGTCCCCACTGGTTCCACCACCGCCCCTACTGTCCCCAGTGGCCCCACCACTGTCGCACTGTCCCCGCTGTCCCCAGAACTGTTCCCACCACGGTTCCACTCTCCCCACTGTCTCCACGGCCCCAACCACTGCCCGACTATCCCCACTGTCCCCACTGTCCCACTGACTCCTCCGCTGTCCCACTGAGCTGTCCCACTGTTCCCACCACTGTCCCCACTGTCCCCACCACTGTCCCCACTGTACCTCTGTCCCATTGTCCCACCGCCGTCCTCGCCACCGCCTTCACCACTGTCCCCACCACCATTGTACCCTCCACTGTCCCACTGTTTCCACCTCATTCCCATTGTCCCCACACCACTGTCCCCACCACCACCGTCACCACCACTGTCCACTGTCCCCCCCTGTTCCCACCATTGTCCCCACCACTGTCCCCACCACTACCGTCCCCACCACTGTCCCACTGTCCCACTGTCCCCACCACTGTCCCGCTATCCCCTCACCACTGTCCCCACCAACACCGTCCCCACCACTGTCCGCACCCCCACTCGGTTTTCGAGGGGGGGGGGGTCGAACCGGTAGTGACCCCCCGGTTTTCGGAGGGGGGGGGGGGAGGGGTTCGAACCGGTAGTGACCCCCCCCCTTTTCATGATGAACTGGGGGGGGGGGGGAGGGGTTCGAACCGGTAGTGACCCCCCCCGGTTTTCCGGAGGGGGGGGGGGGGGGGGGGGAGGGGTTCGAACCGGTAGTGACCCCCCCCGGTTTTCCGCCAGCAGCGGTAGAACACGCTCTTTCCAATCCGCTGACCTTGCCCACTGCGTCGGGCACAAACTCCGCAGCCTCCGCCCGCAGCGAAGTTCCCGCGCTAGGAGCCAAGTTGTTCAACACATGCTCCGCTTCACATTCGTCGTCGTAGCCTGCACTGGAAACACAGAAGGAGCAAGTTGCAGCGACATCCAAATTCAGCAATCGTGCATCGGTCTTCTCCTGTGCGTCCAAAGTTTCTGCTCGAACGGCTCGGCCTTGATGTCGTGACATTGACTTGTACTCCTCGAAGAACGTCTTGTCTTTTCGGCTCTGTGAGCTTCCAACATATGCATCCTGCGACGCCGCTTCTGAGGTCGGATCATCTTGGTCGGACTGCGTAGTATGCCGCAGGCAAGTTCACCTGCTTCAGCCATGCGCACACGAGGTCGCACATCGGACGCGGCGACTACGGCGGGCGGGTCACGGGGCTGAAGCATCGATTCAGGCTTGGCCGTCTTGGGCTTGAGCCACAATGAGCTTGAGCCAAAATGCTACGGCCGCCAAAAGGAGCTTGAGCCAGAACGAGCCTGAGCCGTCACTGTCATCCTCCTCTTTCCTCTCCCGTCCTCCCTCTGCCGCCCTCACTCTTCACTCCTCCCTCCTCCCTCCATCCCTCCTCCTCCTTCTTCTCCATGCTTTCCTGCGCGCCATAGATTGCGCCCCTTCTTTTACACATCCAGGGTGCACTAATCCACTGTTTGGGATCCACGCTGGCGAACAATGTTGGTTGTGGTTTGCCTTTTTGTTGGGCCTGAGGGGGGGGGCTCTTGTCGCCATAGCTGGACTACCCCTGGACAGGTCCAGGGCTGGACGACGACGACGACAACGACGACGACGACGACGACGACGACGACGACGACGACGACGACGACGACGACGACGACGACTACGACAACGACGACGAAAGCGACGACGAAAACGACGACGACGACGACGACGATGACTACGAAGACGACGACGATGACGACGACGACGACACCCACCTGCCTTCCTCCATCTTCACCTTCTCCTCTTGGGAGCGGGGGGCGAACAAAATAGAGACCTCCCGTAACGCCAGGAGTCGTCGCCAGACCTCGGCCGTCGACCCTCGAGACTCGGTCCAACCATCTCGAACGTCGAATGGGCCCTCGCCCCTTGATCATCGAACCAAAGCTGGTCTAAACCACCGTTTTCAGAACATCGATCCTCGAACCTCGAACTTCGATCCCCAGAGCCTCAATCCGCGATCGTCGAGCCCGAAGTCGGTCTCAACCCCACCCCCTTTTTCGAAGGATTGGCGCGTCCGTGCCCTTGTTCAGCTCTCGCATCTGCTGGCCGATGTCGGCGCCGCCGTAGATGATCCTGGCATGTTGGGCAGGACGAGGAGGATGGGTGGGGAGAGGGAGAGTGGACGAGGAGGCCTTGCACTGCCAGGGCCAAATTGGGGGTTCGACGGAGGTGATCCGGACGTGGGCCAGAGTCGAGCGCCAGCTCCCAGGCAACGGAACCGCAAGACCCGCAGGAGCGACGAGGGGGCCGGCGGGGGCCGAAGAGCCAAGCGCAGCGAGGGAGGGCCAGGGAAATTAGAACCCCGAGCGGGGGCCTCCGACCGAGGAAGCAGGGCCCGAGACCACGCGGGGGCACGGACGCCTCCCAGCAGCGCGGGTGAGCACGAGGTCCGACAGGCATCAGTGAAGGGGCCCTGGGACACACACACACACACAAAAAAAAAAAAATAGACACAAATTAACAGGATTCCCCGTATGTTCCCATACTTTCGGGGCTTTCGTCTTCCCCCCCACTTCCCATATGTTCCATATTTTCTGGGAAA